TTGAAATTCTTTCTAAGGTATGAGTTTTGTCGAACTGTTATACTGCTATATTACAAATATGGCCAGATGAGGCGACATACGAACAGTGCAAAACACACTAACGTTATTCCCTTTAGCTGAATGATCTGAGTCATGGATGTTTCAGTCACATTTCAAATAAAAACCCAGCAGACCCTCAATCACCTCCTACTGTCTAGCCCACTGATATGAAGTAGTTCCCTTTGTTTTCAAGGCAGCAGAAATAAAGGAATGTACTCTTGTACCGCCTGAGAAGCAGCCTGACTTGGTGAGCTCATCAGCGTCTAGGAGCCTTGTCTGTGCAAAAAGCTGTTGACCAGCTGGTACTGCAGTGTGAATGACTTATTTGAATTTCTAGTTCCACCTTAAATGATGCAGCAGTTACATTCTGACACCTGTACAGAATGTAACTGCTGCTTCATTTAAGGTGGAACCGAAAATTGAAACAAAATGCTGGCGAATAAGAAGCCAACTTCAACCTTGGCTGAACAACACTGAACAACATTTAGGACCTTTCTGTCGAGCCTGCGGGGCTACAGTCAGAAAGCAGTACTGACACAGGTTTATATATCACTGCTGTCGGAACAAAAGCTTTGATCTCCAAAATGGTAACTTTACAGGAGAAGGAAAAAACATACTTTACTTTTAATGTAAGTCAATGGAACCAGACTTCTTTCCAAGTAATTTGGGCCATTTAATTTAGTCCATTTATCATGAAATTTACATACAATGTAAAGAGCAACATGTACTTTCAAATTATGTCAAAAAAACTGGAAAATGCGAAAAATTGAGTTACGAGGTTTTGTTACGACAGCAGCGATATGTATTGTTCAGTTTGTTATTACTGTTTTGCACAATAAAAATATTTTTACTTAATCAAAATAAAAATACATTTACTTAATCATCTGAAATGGTTTAAATTTGAAAACGAATATATATTCTGCTATTAACCAAAACCTTCAGAAATTTTAATTATACAGTGGTATAAATTTTTGGCCATACTGCCCACCACTATCCCTATGCCAGCCCCTCCAAAAGACTGAGATTCCAAATAACGAAGTAAGCAACAAATAAACCAGCCAGCTATTTTAATATGTCAACTAAGGAGGCAGCTCAACTGGTAAAGACATGAAGGACACATGGGCGCTATAGTGGACACGGGCCTCTTTTGAAGTGGCTGTTTTCCTACTAAATGAAGCTGAACGGGTATTGTGACTTTGCCGAGCCAAGCTACCGTGAATTGAGAGTGCGATCATGCTATATATCTCTGTCACCATAAGTTTGTATGGGCACACAGCTGTACACACACACACACACACACACACACACAGGACAGAATGGAAACAACATGCAGCTAATGGGGAGACTGAAGGTCTTGCACATTGCTGGACATGAGTAGAATTTTAATGGGAAAAGTCCGTCCAGTCGTGCTGGGCATTACGTGGGCAGGGAGAGAGAGGTAATTGGTGGCAGGACTGCCATGTTGGACCAGTGTCTGCAGTACAGACTGGCAGCGAGCTCTGTGATCAAGCTGCCTTCCTACAGAGTCACAAAGATGAAAGATTTCCCAGCGATCCTTTTTATGTTTAACAGACAACAAATGCACAGCTTAAATCAAAACGGATGTAATGATGAAGTCAGAGGATGATATGCAGCTGCTACTATTAGACAAAAAGAGGGAGTGTTAAAACGTGGAGCGTCAATAGTGACACAGTGCATAAAGGTGACATATTCTGTCACTTTCACCTCCTAACGCATCAACCTTGAGATAGACATATGCTAAGTATTTGCCTTAAAGTCCCAACAGCCACTGCAGCTGCTAGGGTCAGTTTTTGGCACTGCAACAGAGAATTCTGAACAAAACCAGTGTTACATATCATGCATTCTGACTGTCTTTCCATCCTCAGTTACTTCTTAATGCTGTTGGTCTTTGCCAGCATTTTCTCAGTAAAATCATTGTGCTTTAATAACAGCAATCAATAACAAATGCCAGTCTGTTATCACTACAGTAACAACAGTATACCCATCATTGGTCAACAGCTTCACAATCTCTCCATTGACCTTGATAGACCTTCTGAGCAAACTCAGAGCAAAGTCCTGGTAGGAGTCGTGGCGCTGCTTCAGTGCTTTTAAGCTCATATTTGAAATACTTGAAATGCCATAGCTTTAGCCCAATATCCACCCCCAGCACTGCTGTGTTTTGTATTGTAGGATGTGTTATTTTCTACAGTCAGTACACTCTCACTGTAGCTAACTGGTTTGTCCTCATGTTAACTTATACATTTGATGCTATGCTTAAATACATAAAGTCCAAAAGTTTGTAGAAAGCAGATTTTTTCTAAAATCAATGATGCTCACAAAGAGTTTGTCCTCCTTTGCTGGAGTAACAGCCTCTACTCTTCTGTGAAGGCTTTACTCTAGATGTTGGAACATTGTTGTGAGAATTTGATTGCACTCAGCTAGTGGAAAACATCTAATTGTGATTATCTGCCAATATTGTGACTGCAAATGAATGCCAGTTGAAGAGTTCTGTGTTATTTGGTCAAATTTCTTCATTAGGAATTTATTAAGACAACTGTGGATAACTGCACTCTTTCAAACTGCAATACTGACCTAATAATGATGAACTGTTAAGCTCTACATTCAGCCAAAAGAGCATTAGTGACACCAGAAACGTTATACACCGATCAGGCATAACATCATGACCAGCTTCTTGTTTCTACCCTCATTGTCCATTTTATCAGCTCCACTTACTATATAGGTGCACTTTGTAGTTCTACAGTTACAGACTGTAGTCCATCTGTTTCTCTGATACTTTGTTAGCCCACTTTTACCCTGTTCTTCAGTGGTCAGGACCCCCATGGACCCTCACAGAGCAGGTACTATTTGGGTGGTGGATCATTCTCAGCACTGCAGTAACACTGACATGACACAGCAGTGCTGCTGGAGTTTTTAAACACTGTGTCCCCTCACTGTCCACTCTATCAGACACTCCTACCTTGTCAGTCCACCTTGTAGATGTAAATTCAGAGACGATAGCTCATCTGCTGCTGCACAGTTTGTGCTGGTCATCCTCTAGTCCTTCATCAGTGGTCACAGGACGCTGCCCACAGGACGCTGCCCACAGGATGCTGTTGGCTGGATATTTTTGGTTGCTGGACTATTCTCAGTCCAGCAGTGACACTGAGGTGTTTAAAAACTCCAGCAGCACTGCTGTGTCTGATCCACTCAGACCAGCACAACACACACTAACACACCACCACCACGTCAGTGTTACTGCAGTGCTGAGAATGACCCACCACCCAAATAGTACCTGCTCTGTGAGGGTCCATGAGGGGTCCTGACCACTGAAGAACAGGGTAAAAGGGGGCTAACAAAGTATCAGAGAAACAGATGGACTACAGTCTGTAACTGTAGAACTACAAAGTGCACCTATATAGTAAGTGGAGCTGATAAAATGGACAATGAGCGTAGAAACAAGGAGGTGCTCATAATGTTATGCCTGATCGTTATAAAGGAGGAGAGAGGTCACTGGTTAAAATATGAATGTAAAAGCTTGTAAAGCTCGCCGTGAGCAGGGAAAGCCCCAGTACCAGTGCCATCACCCCCACCACCAACCAGTCCCCCCGAGCTTCCCCCGAAATGTGGGAACCTGACAAAGCACATTTTTTTGTGTGTTACTGAGCCAAACGCTACAAACTATTTAAGAAATTTTTGTCAGATTTTATCAGTGATTTCAAAAATGTTTCCGAAACTGTATTTTGACCTTCAGCTTTGAGTATATTGGTCTTCCCATTCAAATATTTAGGATCCTGGTGTTGTATGACTGGAAATAACTTCCCAGTGGCGTTGCCAAGATGGCCGCCACGTCAACAGACTTTCCTATAAGGACTCTGGTGACAATGGATGATTAGGTCTAGCTCTCGATTGACAAGGCCACTCCTATTTATAGGAATGCAATACGGAGATATTTATCATTATCATGATACATTTTTCTTTCATCATGACAGATTTTATTATCGTGATACACAGCATGCATTTCTGAGCATATTACTGATATTGTCAGCACTTAAAGCACACTGACCACAGAGAGCACAATTAGTCCTGTCTAACTGCACTTAGTGCAGCACAGTATATGAAATGGTGAATAAACAAATCACAGTATCCTTTTTTTGATAGCAGTTTTAAAATGTGACACTACTAGTGCAGTTTGTCTAGTGTCAAAATATCGTGATGCATGTTGTGTACTGTGAAAATACCTTCAAGTATCATGATATACTATCTTTTCACCCACCTCTTCTTTAACTCATCCCAAACATATTCAGTGATGCTCCAACTACTTGCTACTCCACAGCCCAATGCTGGGGGGCTTTATACCCCTCTAGCTAGTGCCTGGCACTGGGCATGGTGACCTTAGGCTCATGTGAAGCTGCTCCAGAGCGTCCAATTCTACTGTCAATGCTTTGCAGTGGAGTTAATACGCTACATTTGGGCACCTGAACTGAACGCCTGTCTCAGCAATGGAGACCATCAAGTACCTGAACTCAGGATTAGAATTAGTGCGTCTGGATACTTTTAGACATAAGGGGTCCTGAAAGACATGAGAGGGGACTGTAACATTTCATAGCCTAATAGTTTGGCTCATGGGTGCAGTAAGAGTCTTGCATAATTTTGCACCAACCTATTCTTACTTGTAACAGCAAACTATGCCAGAGGTTTGTAGCAGCGTTAGCCTCCTGACCGGGTCACAGCACCGATCACTAACGCTTCAAACACGACGATAAGATCCTACACTGAGCTTGATGGCGCCTCTGTCCCAATTCACTACGGCTTAAAACATGCAGACAGTACAGTGGACGGGCATTAATCAAGCCCAGTTTGCAGCAGTGTTGCCAGAAGCAGAGCGGTGGGGGGGTGATGTCCGGACACCCGCGCCGCAGACTCACACTTCCACCCGAGAAAGAAACAGAGTAGCGGCTTACTTTATGAAGTAGCTGGCTCCTTCGTCGGTGAACCCCTCCTCCCATCCCCGCGGTAAATCTAGAGGAGAGAGAAACATTTACACCCATGCAGCACCCAAAGTTTGGAAGGGAGCGAGGCTGAAAGTGCCCCGTCCACTATGGAGGAGGAGGATGCTGCACTCCCGCTCCCCGAACACGGTTTACGCCGTTAATGCTGACCTCTACTAAAGTACTGAAGTTCCCGCTGAAAGCCTGCAGTAAACACGCTGCTGAAACTTCTCACCTGACCGTATCATGTGTCCCGAGTTGACAGGTTCGCCCGTGCGGGGATGGAGCCAAGTAGTGCTGCGAGTTTTGTCGCTGGGAAAAAAAAGGCAGAGAAACACCTGTTAGCTGGACGAGGCGATAAAAACACGGTCGGTAGAAACAGTGGACTCTCCGACTGCTCACTTGATGAAAAACACCCTGCCATCTCTGCACACGCCGTACGACCAGTGCTCAGGTAGTGTGTCCCGGCCGAGCGGAGCCGCCATGATCCCGGTTTAGACTCGCCTAACCCGGCTGCTTCATTCTTCTCGCTGCGCTGCGGAGTTTCTAGGGAATCCACTAGGGCTGCACTCCTTAAAGGGGAAGAGCAAACTTGCTGGGAAAGTGCGGGACCGCTTTATCCCACCGTGTGAGCCGACGGAAAATACGGAGCTGGGGGTCCTGCGTGTTGGTGGATGGGAGGTCACATTGGCGGATACGCTGCGTAAACGATATCGCCTTCACTGAGAGACACTCCTCATAGCTGGCGAGGTTTAACGCTGTTAGGGTGTAACTGCAGCACTTTAGGTATGTGATCAGAAGGGTTTGACTAACACTGTAACCTGAGGAGAAAACAGGCTGTAAAGGTCTCTTCAGATAAAGCCCCGCATTCAGATCCACACACGGTGTGTCCTGACAGTGAAAAGCGCTTCTCACAGCTCTCACTGTGTCAGACAGCTACAGTAAGTAAACTAATGCCTGAAGAAAGGCTTGAAGAACACTGGAATGTAGAAGTATGGAAGCCACTCCAGCCAAGTAGAAGAGAAGAAATGTTCTATGTTCCTCCTTTGCTGTTCTCTGGCAACAGCATGTTAATGATGGCCTAGTATTTTTGAAATAATGGCTTATTTTCTCAAAATATTGATTCTGTTTTTTGTTTGTTTGTTTGTTTGTTTTGTTTTGTTTTTTGAAAATTGACTTAATATCTTTAAACAGTGACTAACTTTGTCAAAATATTCAAAACAGTCATTCAAAATAATGACTTGTGTTATAAAATATTGACTTAATATCTTGAAATAATGACTAAATTTGTAAAATTATTGACTTAACATCTAAACATAATTACTTATTTTCTCGATATATTGACTTTATCTTGAAATAATGACTAAATTTGTCAAATTATTGACTTAACCTCTAAACATAATTACTTATTTTCTCGATATATTGACTTTATCTTGAAATAATGACTATATTTGTCGGATTATTGACTCAATATCTCAAAATAATTACTTATGTTCTTGAAATATTGACTTAATATCTTCAGATAATGACTACATTTGTCAAATTATTGACTTCATATCTCAAAATAAGTACTTATTTTCTCAAAATATTGACTTTATCTCAAAATAATTACTAATTTTGTAAAAATTTTGACTAAACACCTAAAAATAATTACTCATTCTCTTGAAATATTTACTTAGTATCTTAAAAAATGGCTTAATTTGTCAAATTATTGACTTACCACCTAAAACTAATTACTTATTTTCTTAATATATTGACTTAATATATTGAAATAATGACTAAATTTGTAAGAATATTGACTTAACATCTACAAATAATGACTTATTCTCTTGAAATATTGACTTAGTATCTTAAAATAATGACTAAATGTGTCAAATTATTGACGTAACATCTCAAAATAATTACTTATGTCCTTGAAATATTGACTAATTTGTCAAAATATTGACTTAGTATCCCTAAAAAATGATTTGATATTTTGAGATAGTATGTCAAAATAAAGTTATTAATTTTATTTCAAGAAAGTAAGTAATTATTTTAGAATGATATTCCGAGATACTAAATCAATTTTGACATATTAAGTCAATATTTGGAGAAAATATTCATTGATTTGAATAGTAGACTGTCTTTATTATAAGATATTGAGTCATTATTTCAACATAGTACGTCTTTATTAAGACATACTGAGTTATTATTTTGACATAGTAAACCAATAACCTGAGAAAGTTTGTCATTATTTAAAGATACTAGGTCAGTTTTTTGTGACATACTGCTGTCAGAAACAGAGAAGAAGAAAAAAATGTAGGTGAGTTTTTTCTCCCCTACCCAGTGAGAATGGGCTTCCATAATAAAAGTCCACAAAGTTCTCCTCCAATTTTAATGCTTCACCAATTTTAATTAGTAGTGAAGCTACACTATCATGTTTGGTTTGGAACTCATTTCTACCAGTCTAGTAGTCTCTGTCAGATATACAGTAGCTGGCTTGGTTTAATGTTATTAGAATGTAACCAACTACAGTAGTTATACTTCAGCTATACTTCAGAAGGGGTTTAATATCACTGGAAGTCTTCAAAGTCAAATTCTGTGCTCAAAAGTGTTTTATATGTTTTCTGTTTTATACACTGCAATAGCAGTATTGATGTATCCTGTCTATTTAAGAAATACCAAGTGTACATTTGTTTTATTTTTGGCTCACCTATATGCTCAATTAATATTTTGAATAATGGCATTTTCATCGGTTGAACTTTGATGTGTTAAATAAAGAGCATACAGTGTTTTGATCGTATATCACCATAGATTCGCACCCAGAAGACATATTTTGGTTGGTTTTCCTGTGAAGCTCTAAAAAGCCCTTGAATGACTTGTTTGTAAGACACCATTTTTATTAAGTAAACATTTTAACCTTTCTTGTAGATTCTGTGGCTACAGTAATGCTATGTAGTTTAACTCAAAAAGGGTTTGAAAAACTCAAACTCAAAAACTCAAATTCTATCCTAAAAATCCAAAATTCAAATACAACACACAGGATTTTGCTGAAAGGACAGATTAATGGCATGGAAACTTCAGTGTTTACCTTGGTGTTTCATCATTCCTAAAAATGGGAATAACTAGTTGTTGCCACCCCACTGAAGATTCTAGATTTTTGGGATCTTTAGGAATTTATGGGCAGCTTTATGTAGTATTATCGGTCAGATCAGTTTAATCAATTTTACTCTGAGACTTTAAATTCTACCATTTTATTTACTAGCTTTTTTGAGACTACAGCTCATAAATGCTTTTAATTCAGTTACTTTGTACATTATTGCATTTCCCTTTGTGTCCCACTCCCAAATAAGTAAGTGAATGAGTAATTTCTCCATTGAAACAGTGACGAACCATTAGACTACGACTATACAATATTTTGAAAATACAAAATGAAGGAATTTAAAAACATATAATTGTCATTAATGCGTCTTTTGCATCCAGAAGAAAATTTAGATCATTTTCAAATTAAAAGATCTGTTTTGGCGTCTTTATATACTGAGCAGACACCACAAAATTCTCACTCCATCATCTTATCTTCTCTCCTCTTTTCAGCTATGTATAGAACAATACTTAGACATCGTGACTCACAGAGAAGAGCACTCTGATATTCCGTTAGTCAATTATCAGTCACCAAAGGCTACAGAGAGGTCTAAGGGCATGCCAAGCCTTACCTCAGCTCAAGATGAAATCAGCCCCCTTAAATGCACGATACTAATGAAAACGTGATAAACGATCTGTGTTTTTATCTTTAATATGCATAATTATAACAATTAAAAGCTAAATACTTTATGTTGAACCGCAACCTCAAGATCAGCCAAGTATAACAAACTATCAGGAATGAAAACAGGAGCGAAACGTCAGCGCACACCTGAGCCTCGTGACTCAGGAGACGCAAACTCTCACTTTCATTCTGCTATGAAAGTACACACCTGGCCAAACCTCTCGCAGGGGTGCGACAGAGTCACAACAAAAGAGAGAGACAGACAAAGAGCGGCTGATTATTCTTCAGGAATGTTCATCTATTTATAGCAACCGTCAGTGCACAACCTGGTAGACCAGCCATGTGAAGAGCTGAGAAAGAGACATTCAGTTTACATTAGAGAGAGAGAGAGAGAGAGAGAGAGAGAGAAAGAGAGAGAGAAGGAATGATAAGCAGAAAGAGAGAAAGAGATGCAATAAAAGAGAAAGAGATAAAGATAGTGAGGAAAAAGAGAGAGGCATTCGAAATAATGAAAGAGATAGAGAGAGAGACAGAAAGAGAGACAGCCAAGAAGAGAGTGAGAAAAAACTGATAGAAAAAGAAATGCAACAGACAGAGAGAGAAACGCAGACAGAAAGAGACACAACACAGAGAGAGACAGAATGAGACACAACATAGAGAGACAGAAAAGGAGACAGAAGGAGAGACACAACACAGACAAAGAGAGAGAAAAGTAGACAGAAAGAGACACAACAGACAGAGAGAGGGGGAGACAGAAAGAGAGACACTACAGACAGGGAGAGAGAGGGAGAGAGTAAGAGAGACACAACACAGACAGAAATGGAGACAGAAAGAGAGACACAACACAGAGAGAGAAAGAAAGGAAAGACAGAAAGAGAGACACAACACAGACAGAGAGAGAAAGAAATGGAGACAGAGAGACACAACACAGATAGAGAGAGACAGGGAGACAGAAAGAGAGACACAATGCAGATGAAGAAAGACAGAGAGACAGAAAGAGAGACACGACAGAGAGAAACACCCAAACAGTACACAAAACACACTTTCACACACACACAATATCAAAAATGCCCTGTTTGTAAACACCTTTATATATTTATTTAGATTTATGTTATTTATTTATTTTTCCTCTTAATCTTCTTTACACCTCAATTCCAAACTGACATTTTTACTGTTCTTTTATGTGCTTCTTGTCCTTTTATGTTCCTTTTTAATGATGTTTTGGCAATACTGTAACTGAATATGGTCATGCCAATAAAGCTTATTGAATTAAATTGAAATAGACCAATGAAGATAGAAAGAGAGACACAACACAGACAGAGAGAGACAAGGAGACAGAAAGAGACAGACAGGGAGACAAGGAGACAGAAACAGACACAACAGACAGAGAGAGACAGAAAGAAAGAAACAACACAGACAGAGACAAGGAGACAGAAAGAGACAGACAGGGAGACAAGGAGACAGAAAGAGAGACACAACAGACAGAGAGAGACAGAAAGAAAGAAACAACACAGACAGAGAGACAAGGAGACAGAAAGAGACAGACAGGGAGACAAGGAGACAGAAAGAGAGACACAACAGACAGAGAGAGAAAGAAAGAAACAACACAGACAGAGACAAGGAGACAGAAAGAGACAGACAGGGAGACAAGGAGACAGAAAGAGAGACACAACAGACAGAGAGAGACAGAAAGAAAGAAACAACACAGACAGAGACAAAGAGACAGACAGGGAGACAAGGAGACAGAAAGAGAGACACAACAGACAGAGAGAGACAGAAAGAGAGACACAACAGACAGAGAGAGACAGAAAGAAAGAAACAACACATACAGAGACAAGGAGACAGAAAGAGACAGACAGGGAGACAAGGAGACAGAAAGAGAGACACAACAGACAGAGAGAGACAGAAAGAGAGACACAACAGACAGAGAGAGACAGAAAGAAAGAAACAACACAGAGAGAGACAAGGAGACAGAAAGAGACAGACAGGGAGACAAGGAGACAGAAAGAGAGACACAACAGACAGAAAGA